CTTCTCGAGATTTTATCTGTATAGAGTGGGATGAGTTAAGCACTCTTCTAAATCTATCTCTATAGATCAAGTTGCTTATCCCATATCTTTAATGGAGAAATTATTTGACAATCATAATTTTGACGATTGAAAAATAAGGACGTCATTTCCTATTAATAATATGTTATTTACATATAATATTAGGTATACAACGATGCTCCATTGTCTTTTTGTAAACACAGGGTTCATCTTTGTTTATGATAAAATCAAACCTTTTTGAGTGTCATCAGAATGAAGATTTTAGCTCATAGAGGTCTGCTTTAATCCCCATATAGATCGATCAAGCTTGTATACCTTGTAAGCATATTTGGATTCAAAACATTTGAATTGTATCATGCACACTTCCTCTTGCAAGTTCCTATTAAGAAAAGTAGTTTTGACATTCATTTTCCATAACCCATAGTCATGGTATGCAGCTATTATTACAAGAAATATTCGAATGGATTTTAGCATGGCTATAGGTAAAATGGTTTCATCAAAGTCAACTCCGTGTCTTCGTTTATAATGTGTGGATTTTCCCCATCCACATCGACCTTTTTTTTTGTAAACCCATTTACAATCTATGGGTTTTATCCCAACAGGCTCGATCAAGGTCTAAATCTTGTTTACATACATCGAGTTCATCTCGGATTCCATAGCCTCTTGCCATCTCTTTGAGTCAACACTTGACTTTATTCTACTTAAGTAGTAGGTTCATTATCCTTGATTAGTAATGATTGAGTTCATACCTTCAAGGAAGTCAAATGATCCTACAAATTTTACACGAAGTTGACGTATCCTTACGAGTCTGTACTTCCTGATCAAGAGTATGTCCCTCAACAGGCGTGGGATCAAACTCAGGTTCATCTACTTGGTCAACTATGTTTGCGTATCATGAACTCTTTCAAGATCTATTCTGCTCCCATTATCCTCTCATATAATGAACTCCTTCTCTAAGATGACAGTATGTCTCGAGCTTTCTTCTCAATAGGATTATAGAGTTGATATCCAATTATTTTCCAAAAATATGTATTTATCGGATTCAGACTTAAGCTTATCCGATTCAGTACACTTCACATAAGCATCACAATCCCAACTTTAATATGAGAGAAGTTGGGGCCTTATGCCTTTTCATAACTCGTATGGAACTTTGTCAACCGACTTAGATGTGACACGATTTAGTGCATAGCACATTGCAATCAGTGTATGACTCCAAAACATTTTTGGGAGGCTTACATGGCTTGTTATTAATCACACTATATCAAATAGTGTTTGATTCCTCATTTCAGATATACCGTTATGTTGCGATGTATATGATAAAGTCCACTGTGAGAGAATCCAATTCTCTTTTATATAATCAAAAAATTACATTTAAGATATTTTTCTCCTCAATCTGATCTTAGTGTGAGAATACCTAAACCTACTTGTTTCTCTAGTTCTAGTTTAAATTTCTTGAACCTTTCAAGAGTTTCATACTTAAATTTCATCAAGTATTCATGATCATTTGGAAATAGTCATTAGTAAATATGATGAAATAAGAAAACCTCATCTAGCATTAATGTCATAGGTCCACATACATTACTATATATTAGCCCCTATAATTGTACGACTCTTTCTTTTTCTCAACTAAAATGGAATTTGGTCATATTGTTTAACGTGCATGATTCGCATTTGTCTAATGATTCAAAACCATTTGACCCCAAATATCTATCTCTATGTAATTTGGAATTGCATTTTGTATTTATGTGACAAAGCATCTAATGCCAGATATATGTAATATTTAGGTTATCACTTTTATGGCTTTTTAATTTCTATACTCTTTGCATA